ACAAGGTTTTTTTATTAATAGTAAAACGGGGAGGAAAAAAATTATCGGTATAAGCAAATATCGTTATATATTGTATCAGTATATCGAGATTTGACTGTATCAATTTTTACAATGTTATGGACATAATGGTAAGGGAGGTGAGTTTATCTATATTGGATGGTTACTAGCATATACAGTGGCCTAAGCTAAAAAGTTTTAATAAATCCACCTGAGCGTCAAGCCGAAAGAGATTTATCAGAAAAGGTATTAGCTCATATCTAAAAAAGATTCAAAAAAGTCCCATTAGCGCCAATACTTATACGGTAGTCGATTAGAATTTGAAATAATAAATGTCTGGCCTATTTTTATATTTTTCATGGGTAGAATATCGGTCATTTTTTTCTTCCAGCCTTCGATCGTATAGCTAACCTTTGGAGATGCCAATCTCTAGCCTGAATATATTGCTTAGCTTTTTCTGTGTATTCCGTAACTTTTTCATAATAATAAACCACATAATTGCGATCAGAAGAAAAAGTATTATTGAAAAAGAAAGTATATATGGTAATAATTTATCAAGGCCAGTTTTTGAATCCACGCTACTCTTCTCCTGCAAAGCAGTATCTGAGGTGCCTATAAGTGAAGAAGCGCCAGAGGGTCTCAAAGAGACTGAGCCTTCCAGCCCACCATGTTTTTCGCTACCACTTTTTACATGTGAATCTGACCGATTAGAGTATTCTGGGGCTAATAGATTAATCACAGACTGAAGCGATTTTACTTCCTCTGATTTTGCAAAGTTATCGGCTTTGGCTTTGGCAAGAGATATTTCTGTACAAGCATTCTGAAAGACGAGCTTGAAGTTTTCAACCTTCAACCGCCTATTCTCATCATTAAGATTTATATATTCACTCTGCAACCTAGCATTATAACCTTGAATTTTGGATGAATCTTGCAAGATGCGGTATATCTCCTTTTCAAGATTATACGTTCCCATTTATTTACATTGGCCATAAACTGTAAAAAAACTTTTCATATTTTTTGTTAGAGAACAATTACGATAAATATAGAATGAATAGGAAGGATATCGATCATTTTTTATTATTAATTACAGATAGTGAATTAGAATGTATTTTATCTATCTAAAACAATAAATTATATATTTTAGCGTTCTCTCTCATCCTAAATCCATAAATGCTGAATTCTAATATTTATTATCCATCTAAAAAGATAAGTATTAATGCCTAATATTTTTTATACATCTAAATATATTGTCTAAAAAATATCGGAAGAGTATGTCTACCTCAATTTTGAAAACTCATTATCGGCGAAGTGCAACAGTCTTGACTTCTGAGCAGATCGAAGAAATTAGACATCTTAAAAATAAAGTTCCGGTATATATGATAGTAAAGGAGTATCATATTAATAAAAATTATGTTTATGATATATAGAATGATTGTGAGCGTTTTCAGCAAAATGGGAACCATTTTCTCGAGAAGCTTAGGAAGGTACAATCCATCTCATCAGTCCCTCCTTCAGAGAATAATCCCTAGGAAAAAGAAAATAATCATCTAATTTCAGGATCTTTAAATGGTTCCATTGCTTTAGCGTCTAATTCTTCGAATCTCTTTGGCTTGGCTAGGATCAATCCATTTCATGAGTCTATTGAGATTAATGCTCAAGAAAAGCAAAAAAAGAAAAAGAAACTACCGAAGCGCTCCCTCCAGGACCAGCATAAATCTATTCAAAGTTTTGACTTACCTGAGATTCCAGCAGGAGGCCTTTATCAAAACTCCGCCCTAGATATCTCACATGACATATTTGCTTCAATCAAAAAGAATCGTATAGAATCAGAGGAAGCTATACGTGAATCAGAAAAGTTTCTAGTTCTCAACTCACCCTTTCATTATATTCAGACAAAAAATACTTCGTAGGGTTTCACTGAGACCATCCGCCAAGCCAGGGTGTATAGTTAGCAAGAAAGGGATCATAGATTTTTATTAATCTCAATTAATCTAGCTTTGGAAATAAGAGTATCATATAGCAGTTTTTCAAGTTCCTCATAACTCACTTTTTTTTAATGTACCATCTTCACTTAAATCTTGCGAAATACAGTCTGAGGTGGAGGAAGCATCACATTCGGGAGTAGTCCTCGCGCAATTTACCTCGAGCTTATTCTTGATCTTATGCATGATCACTGGGATGATATAATCCTTTCCATTAAAGAGAATCTTTAACTCGTTGGTATTCCAATCCAATGCGTATCCGTATTTCTTTAGAAGCTGGTTAGAAAATATTAGGATTAGCTTGTGATATCTCATAACAATAAAATCTTCAATAATGATAAGTCTGGGAGCTAAAGTAATTGGTAGGTTGCGGATGACTCCAATAGATTCAACAGGATCAGTTGCAATACCGCTAAGATCATGTATTTCAGATTTATCGATTTTATCTCCCACGCGTTCAACAATATTCTCCATTATGATAGGAGGTTCAGCTCCAGAGTCGAGAGTTATAGCCAGAATCTTTAAATGCCTGATTTTGCACTTTACAGTCGCAACACTCATTTTCGGCTCCTTCTTCTTGATGAAGTTGATCTCCATAGGATCATCTAAAGACTTCTCTTCCAAACTGGACTCATCCGAATCTTTTGAAGATGACGATACATCATTTTGAGATACTATCTTCTCCACCACTATCTGTTTGGACACAATGAGACCAGAATCTTGGAAAAAATGTGGGGAAAATTAGTTTAAGCTCACTATGAAGAACTTTACGAATAGTCTCCTCTAGTGGTATTTCTCTCAGCTTGGCACTAGACATCTCTTTAGAGGATAATTTCTCAGATTCACTCTCCTGCTTTACTTTTTTTTAGCTTATCCATTTTAACATTAAGCACGGTCTCAGAATCAGAAGAATCGGAAGAGTCTGTATCAGAATCAGAACTATTGCTAGAAGAAGTATTGTCTGAAGAAGAATCTGAATCTGGTTCTATAGCGAGATTGACCTTACTTTTCTTCAACTTCTTGCTTTTCTTTTTCTTCTTTCGAGGGTACTTATGAGAAGTGTGTCCAAATCTACCACACTTGGTACATTTCTTAACAGCACTCCTAACAGCGGATTTGATAGTATTATTGTGGCTTTATTTAGTGTCATGCTAGCTATACTGTCAGTAATATCATCCACAGGGTCATAATTATATTCATCTTCAGGTTGCTTATTTGATTTTGTCCTTAATAGATTACTCAAAAAACATCTAATAGCAAGATCTTCTGCTTTCTTTCTGACTAATTTTTTACTATTATCCAGAGTTTTATTCCTCCAGGATATAGTCTCTTAAAAGAATTTAAACATGGCTTGTAAGTCAACCTTAATAACGTTTTCCTGACCAGACGAAGATACTGGTGATTGAACTGCTGGTAGTTGCTGTAATGCCTAAATCCTACTATTTACAATCCTATCAACATCTTCTATAGTAATACCCTGATGAGAAGATGTTTTTGGTTTTGTCTTGGTGGCCGGTTGGTTATAAATATCTTCATCTAAAAACAAATTATTCCTTTCCGTTTCAATCTCTTCTAAAGTTTCAATCAATTCATCATTCAAAGGTCTGTTTAAGCCCAATCGTTTCAAATCTACCTTGTTTTCAGGTGATAAGCTACGAATAAATTGTATTCTCTTTTCACGATCAGATATTTGAGCTTATTTAGCATATTTATCTATCTTTCTATAGTAATTTCTAACTGAATCAGAACCTTGAGTCAAAGTACCAAAAATCAATTTCTGTTGCTCTCGAACAACTGTAGGATAATTCCTTTTAAACCAATAGATGATCTGACTAATATTGATATCAGGAAGGACTATATAATTATTGTTATTTAAAGCTCCATTCAGGGCATTGGTTGCTGTATCAGCATCGATAGGACACCCACCAGCAAGAGACCAATCTTCATCTACGTGAATATTATGTGCTGGAATAACTGTAGCGCTAGTAACTCCAGTCGGCAATCCTGGTAGTAGAGTACCATCAGGCGCATTAATCATGGTGACCGTTATGTTAGCATTATTTAGGACTACTACGGCTGCTATATTTGCTAAAGCATTTCCACATCTTACATGATTCAATCGCCATTTTTTACCTTTAAGCTTATCTTCAGCCTAACGTGATGTCTCATCTGTCAAGCAGGACCAGAATAGCTCTAAAGCTCTCTGTTTGCCACCTGCATTAGCAGTGGTAATGTTGGTTGCCGTAAGATAGAGTCTGTAATCTTTTATGAATTCATCTATATCTTCATCCGCTCTACCTGAGAATCTTTTGGGAGCATACCCTGCCATTCCAATATGTGGAAGATTGTTTTGTAATGCAAATATTTGTGTCTGCAAAATTAAAATATTTTAGCGCTCGGCATAGGTCTTATTTTTCCATTTCTCATATCGCTCATAGAGCCTATCTCGATTATACTCTAATAAACCTATATCCCCTCTACTTCGCTGTAGATGGTGGGCATTTCGCTGATATAGTAATTGTAAGGCAAATTTTTCTTGTACCAACTCACCTATACAGTTTTGCTTTCTCGTCATCATATCTAGCATTCTGTTAACCTGATTTCGAGCATTAGTTCGCAACTGATGAAGATCACCAATAACTCTTTGTTCCACCCCTTCAGCAAGTTGCCTTCATATAATTTCATTATCACGCTCAGCCTCTGCATCATATCGCCTTCTCTGCTCACAGGCTAAATCCTGATGCAAGTTATTCTCTTTTCAGCGTATCTGTCTTATCGTCCTTTTTATTTGATCTATTAGAATATCCCTGGCCGTTGTCCTATTTTCCAGAAAACCATCTATAGCATTTGCTAGCTCTGTGATGGTAACCATTTCTATGTTAATATTAGGATTATACAAGTCTGGAGAATTATCTCGTTCTGGTGAATTTTTCCGTGATGAGATGATCTTGATTCGACATCACAATTTCTCTACCTACTCCTCAGATTCTACTAACCGCGCTTCTAAGCTAGAGATATATTTTTCCTTATCTCGGTCATCTTTCCTAGCTTGATATAGCTGATTTTTTAGGTTGGAGATTTCAGATTTTAACTCTACTATCTCTTCTTCTGAGACATGCTCAAGACGCTCTATTTCTTTATTAAGGTTTTGGACTTCTTGCTCACATCGATCATATTCATGTTCCAACTCTCTAATCCTTCCTGTATGTTGATTATTACTATTAATCTTTGACTGTAATGCTTTTCGAAGATAATAGTTATCATCCTTCAATTCGGCTTTATGTTCTTCACATGTTCTTCTCTGCCTCAGATGAGACCTCCGAAATGCCATTCTTTTTTGTGATTATAAAAGAGAATTGGAATGAGTCAACTCCAAATTTTGATAGACCTTGATGAGGCTCAGAGAATTGAAAAAAATATCATATTGCAGGAAATATATTATCACCTGACTGGCTATTATTCCAACCCTAAATCTTTGAGAAATGCATATAAAAAAGAAGGGCATCGATTTCGCCTAAGTGAATGCAAAGATTTTTTAGAAAATCAAGAGTCATTCCAGACTAATAAAACCTCTTCAAAATATATTCCTAGAGCCAGTTACAGGTGAATTACACACCCTAACTGTGTACAACAGTGCGATATACTATTTCTCACTCATGATTACTATAAAGGTAAAAAATATAAAGCAGTACTTAACATTATAGACTGCGCTTCCCGATATAAAGCTTCTGTTCCGCTTACATCGAAGAATAGCTCAGAAGTTGCTAAAGTATTTAGGAAGGTATATGATACTCGAAATAATCCATTGACCTGGCCAAAGCTTCTACAATGTGATGGAGGTCGTGAATTTATAGGTGAGACTTCCCGTCTAATGCAAGAGCATGATGTTATGATTCAGGTGATTGGTCTATATAGTCATAGAGGACTTACCTTCATGGAGCATTTCAATCAGACACTCTCGAAAATTCTATATAAGATCCAGTATGCTATTGAATCGATATCTTCCGATCCTAAATTAATAAGAGCATGGGTTAGGTATTTGCCGGAAGCTATTGATTATCTGAATAACTATCTCACACGTCTTATTCGAGAACCAGAATCAGAAAAGTAGGGGCTTGAGCCAGTGAAAGCCATTGCCTTAGAACGAGTCGAATCTAGACCATCCACAAAATATAAGCGCCCAGTTGAAAAAGATGAAATAAAATTAAAGAAAGGAGATTCTGTCCGCTATCTTCTTGCTAATGCAGAATGGGAAGGAGGTATGAAGAATCAGAAAAGGGCAACTGATCCGATATGGTCGCCTTCTATTCATAAAATCTGAAAAGTTGTTGTTATAAAGAATGAGCCAATTTTATATTATATTGATGGAGATTTTGCACCATCTCGTGGGTTTGTGCGAGAAGAGCTCATATTAATAGCTGAACCGGAAAAAGTTAGATATCCACCTCAAAGTATATTATCTATACATGTTGCCTTTGTTACCAATAGAGAGATAGATCAAGCTATTGATTATGCGAGAAGATATGGTGGTCAATGCTTAGAAAGGACTGGGCGAATAAATGGTCATGGTGTATATCTTTAGTCTTGCGAAAATGGTATACACCAGTGGGAATATCCATTGAAATATATCATAAAAAAATTCGATTGGTGTCCTCTATGCCACCATACTCAAGAACGTAAATGCTGATATATTTTTGAGGATTTGTTAGGCAAGAAATTTCCGCCATGTAAGGCTAAGTTCTTAAATGGACTACACTTGGATGGATATAATGAAAAATTGCGTCTTGCATTCAAATTTCAGGGTCTTCAACATAATCGCCACAATAGCTTCTACCACTGGGAGAATGAAAATCTAAAATCACAAAATATACGCGATCAGAAGAAGCGGGATATATGCAAGAACTAAGGTATATGCCTTATCGAAGTGCCATACACATGTGACCCTTTTTTCTATATTAAGCATACACCTATCGAAAAAGGATTCTTGAGTAATTCTTCAAGTTAAGTCAGAGAGAATTATTTGATCCCTACCTTTTCTTGGCATTTTTCTGAGACCACTGATTCGCAAATTTGCAAGATTATTTTTAGAATATCATTAGTAATAGTTCGTCATGAAAATAAAGAAACTTGAATCAGTTGAAAGGCTTGTATACCATATTAATGAAATTAAAGATGCAAAAAGATTTAATGGCCATCCTTCTGTCCCCCAATGGCCTTTCACTTTAGGTATCTTTGGCTGTACTAATACAGGAAAAAGTAATAAGGTTCTTAATCTCATGCTTGGAACTAAGCTCTATCGAATGCTTAATGGAAAAAAGGATAGAACACGCTATATCAAGAATGATGATATACTATTAATTGGCCACAATCTTAAGGAGGATAAATATTTGTATCTCAAATCGGTCTATCAAATAATTGCTAATAGTCGAAAGCCATATCATGAAAATATTTTATTCTGAGCTTTGAAGCCTGATAAGATCCCTAAGGTAGATTCATTTTCTCCAGATAGGGGTACAGTAGCTATATTCGAAGATGTATGTGCTGACCCAAAGAAAGTGCAAGAGAAAATTATTCCTTATTTTCTTGAGGGACGTCATTACAACATCAGTTCGATATATGTATCTCAGAGTTACTTTGACTGCCTAAAAATAATACGAAAAAATCTTTCACACATCTGCTTATTCAATGGGTCGTGCACTATGGACGAGCTGAGCAGAATTGTGCGTCAATATGCTAATGACTGGCATAGTGTAATTAAGACTATTGATAAGGCATTATGTAAACATAAATTCATTGTTTTCGATCTAACTGTACCTCGAGAGCATCCACACCGGGTACGTCTTGGCTGGGACAAAATTCTCACTAATGAATAGAATCTGACTTGGTCCCAAAGGGACCCTTCATAGATGCCAGCTCTTTTTCCGCTTCCCACACCTGCATCTTCAGATCCTCAACTTCACATCATAATCTTTTATTTGCAGTAACCCGCTCTCTATATTCCCTTTCTATGTCTTGCATAAATTTTCCAAAAGTTTGTCTATTATAATCGAGCAGGTGCTGGGATAGTACTTTAAGCTCATTCATAACCCAGCAATTATTCTCTTCTTCATGTTCATGGGCTATTTCTTCGGTCTGAACTTCACTATCTACAACATGTGTAATCGGTAATGCTGGGGGTATATTACATTCTAGCCAGCTTCGAGGACGCAATGTTTTTTTCTGGGTCATAGTTTTACATTTCTTCCTATTTAACGAATTCTCATAAACTTCTAATTTATGCCATAGGTATGACTCAATTCAATCAGACTTCCCAGAAATCTTTTCTAATGGAACAGGATTTTTAGAGTGATTCAAAAGACTTTGATACGCCCTCTTGACAAGACTTTCAGGTAGTCTATCAATAATATGTTTATAATCGGAATGGAACATTTTATTAGATATAGTTTTACGCAAAAAAAGTTTGCACGCAAGAAACAAATTTACACGTCAATATCGTGAAAGATCGGCTAGAAATATTAACTCTGATCAAATCACGTGCACGTTTCGTTTCAGAACACCAATCATTTTTAGCAAAACATTTTATTTATATACAATAACAGTATAACACTAACAAGATTTAGCACAAATCCGTTTTGTTTTCATATTGCTAATAAAAAAATCATGTAAAACATACTGCGCAAACTTATTTTATTAAGAGCCAGGAATATAAAATATAAATACATTAATTTCTGTCATAAAGGAAATGATCAATTAAGATTCATCACAAAATATTAGTTGTCCCTATTCAATCTTTCTCTTTTTTATCGGCTTTTTTTCCTTAATTTCCTTGGGGTTTTGACGTTATCAGTAAAAAATTCAACTGTAGACGCAGGTGGCGGTGTAGAACTTCGGCTAGCTTCCACCAATTGATTTTCTAGGTCATCATCTGATTCATTATCATTGCTATTCAAAATATTCAGGACTTGTAGGTTGTCCTTAATACTCAACTGTAAAAGTGATCAGAAGGCTGAATCAAAACAAAATCATAATTACAGTAATAAACTTTCCTTACTGTACCTTATATTGATATATTGCTATTAAAAGTTTTAGGAAGGATTTTACTCCTTCTTTCGAGAACCTGCTATCGACGTTGAAAGATCTTGGATCTTTGCGAAAGATACAAATAGAACCGCCAGCACGCCACAATTTTACAAATTGGATCCACAATCCAAGATGTAAAACTCCAACAACTTGGATTTTGTCTGCTTTTTGCTGTTCATAATTTGCAGCAATCAGCAAATCGGTATACATGTCTCGGAGAGTTTTAGGCATCTTGAATGCCTCAAGAAGGTATTTCCGGTCCGAAATACCCAAGAATGATCTTGCAGCTTCGATAGCCCCGACTTCAAATTGCTTGTCAATGCTGTAAATTATTCCGTCAATCTTACGGCCGATAAGCTTTCTTGTGCGCGTATTTATTTGCCGACCGCGATTTTTTCTGTTCGCACTACTCACCGATGGTGCGTCTGTCCTATGAAAGTGAGAAATAAGCTGTTAAAAAAAAATACAAAGTTGAATCGTTTATATCAGTGGAACTAGTTAAAAAACCTCTTAATGTCAGTTCCTAGTTGTGCGTCCCTAATACAAAAATCAATGCATGATCCAAAAAGGGAAACCGTGTACCAATCTTCGTACTGGCTCCTTATTAACGGAGAATCCATATTTTCGTACAAATTACAAAGCGCTCGCATGGCTGTCTGTATCCATTCTTTATCGTAATGTTTACTGATATCGTATGTCTCATCATCTTTTAAATATGACGTCATCACGATGGTACGTAGCTCTTTTAACGTTTTTTTTCCGTATTTTGCCATCTCTTTGACAATCTCGCTTGGAACATCTGGAACACCGATTCGATCCTTAGTTAACTCTTCCCATTCTATATCGGTAAATAATGATTTAACATTCTCGTCGTCATAGTCCACAATGTAGGAATGAGCGTGACTAATAATTGTCAGTATCGTGAGTGATAAGATAAAAAGAATTAAAGAATTTAATTTTAAGAAACTCACTGCTCGTAATCCATATCTTTTGCAAACTTGAAGAGAACATCCTCTACTATTTTGCCGGTTCTCAAACGCAACTTAGAACTATCTGGGATAGCATAATAAGCTGCATGAAAAGCAACTTTATCGACTTTTGGGGAGTTTTATCTTCTTTGTCCCTGTCATCTGTGTCATTTTCTCCATCCGACTCATAGTCCAGCTCTTCAAATACTGATACATTCTCAGACAGCACGATATCTCCTCCACAATACGGACAAAATCTAATTAGTCCAGAGATATTAATCTAAAGAAAAAAAAAATGTAAATCCTTTTTACCCTTCGCAAGAACCGATTTTAAACGTATTTACCTCCGTATTACAATTTGAGCAACTAGGTGAACGTTCGTCCTGCTTATGCTGATTAATCTACAAAGAGTGAAAATGAGATAAAGGTGAATTGAATAGTCAGAAATTTAATAAACGAAACATATTCTCAATGTAAAACTACCATACCTCATCCTCATCTGCCTTGTCCAAATTCTTCCCGTATTTAGGTACAAAGAATGGGTTATTTTCGACATCAGCGATTGCTGAGTTTGAGTCTACATCTATATTACTAGCAAGGCCAGATGTTTTCCTCGACAAGTTACCTTCATTTCTTTTCAAAAGTTCTAATTGAGACTTATGAACGAATCTTGAAGTATCACTTAAGCGCTTGTTTCCTGTTTGTAAAAAGTCCACGATGCCTTCGACCTAAAATTTGTATAAAGTTCAAAGTTACTTCAAATATGCAATCCTGGGGATACAATCGCACGTTACCTCAACCAATTTTCGCCTTTTATGTAATCGACTAAGGTTTTGGTCTAAATTTTGATCTTCCCAGAAATTTGTAACTTCCTCCGATGCTTTCTCATTCTTGATTTAGAAAAAAAAATTGCAATTATAAGATTTACATTTTACAGGCCAACTGGTGTGTCCATCGGCGGAGCCGCAACCTTTCATATGCTAGCCGCAGCCAGCATACTAGCTGATGAAGTACCGTGCATTTATTAACGGAGCCACAGCCGTTCATATGCTAGCCGCAACCAGCATACTAGTTAATAATGCAATACAACATCCGCGTGCTGAAATCTCGCAAGCCCCAGCCATTGAGCAACAAACGGATGTTCACACTTGACCATATGATCCACACCAATGCCCATAAAAAAAAACCAACTCACTTTAACATTTTCCAAAGCTTTTGTGACAGTTTTGTATTGTTCATCCTTTTCACTGTAACTTAGTTTGATTGTGGTGAGCTCCGAAACGTACTGGCTTTGACTCTTGTCCTTCTTGAGCGAATCTTTGTTCGTTCCAGGTATTTTAAAAACGAGAACAGCGATGGTTCCGAAATAGATCTCCAATAATCTATAAATTTTAATGAATATTGTGAGAATATGAATTCTTTAGATAAGAAATAAGTAATATCTAGGTTTACCCGGTTCGCTTAACTTTTTGCTGATGGTTTCATTTAACTTCATTTCAACAAAAAAAATAACGCGAAAAAGTTAATCTGATGTCATAGGAAGAAGTTCACGTGATTGGACGATCGATTTCAATTGAATTTATACAGTTTAAAGTACTTTTTGGAAAATA